ACAATGGAACCGTCTGTATTGTTAATCGAGTTGATCGACCATGTTCGGGTCAAATGAAAGCTCTCACCGCCAAACCAACAAATTTAAAATATTACGTCCCCATAGCGTACCTAGAGCAAGTTACTTAAATTTCAAGGTATGAGAAATTTAGGTATAAAAATAAATCGAGAAAGGCTTTCTCCACTATTGTAAGGACAAAACATGCTGTTGTTCTGGCCGATCAGGGGATTGAAGGGGCTCTCTTTCATATTGCCCGATCAACGCTATGTTTTGTCCTTACAATAGTGGAGAAAGCCTTTACTGATTCATTTTTATACCTAAATTTCTCATACCTTGAAATTTAAGTAACTTGCTCTAGGTACGCTATGGGGACGTAATATTTTAAATTTGTTGGTTTGGCGGTGAGAGCTTTCATTTGACCCGAACATAGTCGATCAACTCGATTAACAATACAGAAGGTTCCATTGTTAGACACAAAATTATTTTTATTTGTTAAGTGTTTGATCATGCTCTTTTACTTTGCTATATGTCATTTTTCTGATGAGAATGAAAATCGATATTAAGTTTACTAATGAATACTACAGACATTGGTGTTGTTGACAACAGTTTCTCAAATAGTGAAATAATTGGTTTTCCAAGAGCATCAGTAAATGGCGGTTCTCATCGACAATTCATCCATAAAATACATGTTGGCATAATGCATACACGAACATATTAGTGGTAGTCAAGATCTGTTAATTATTTATATAAATCGATAATGTCTGATTGATGATTCATTGACAAGAAAACATTAACTGTGGATGATATACAAAAAGTGATGTGTTGATGAGTGATGACTTTAAAAAGTAATGACAACAAACAATCGAATCTATACATATAATTTTCAGTGTGTGTCTGTTTCTCTGTCGGGTTAAAGGGCGAACATCAAAAGTTAAAGATTACAGATTAAGATCTCTAGCATGTTAATACAAAAAGGGAATAAAGTGGTAGGGGATAAGGTTAGAAGAGCTACAAGGGATATAAGGCTATAAGGTCGAAGGCTATATGGACTATAAAGATATGTGCGATATAAGACTATGAAGCCGTAGGTCTACCTAACTATCTATATAGATAATATCGAGTGTCTGTATGTCTGTTATCGAATGTAAAGTTAAACGTCTAAGATCTTACGTTAAAGGAGAAAACAGTCGTGCAGTATGCACGGGCTCTCGCTAGTTCGATATATTTCGACGTCTGTCATCGCATTAGATATCATTTATCCGACATCCTTCACAACTTTTTGTATGATTACTTCAGTATCTTATCAACCAGTATATATGGTTCGTTGAGCAAAAGCATACAAGAATCGAACTGAATAGTTCAATATCATAATATGCTCGATGAATGATCGAAACATTGTTTGACTGAACATTAATTGTTTGCCATCTGGGAATTAACCACTTGGAAAATATCGCTAAGACAAGCCAGAATATAGCTGAACAACTTTATATCAATTTCTTTTTAATGAATTTCTGCTCATTCACTAATACCTTGATGATGTGTATCGACATGAACACATATATTCCTTACCTATCAATAAAGATTCTTTTTTTACTAAATAAATGAGGTTTGTTCAATTACTTACATTGAGTTCTTACCATTTGACAATTACTTTGATTTATTGAATATTTATGTTGGTTTTTTCATTAGTTTCAATTTCCTGACAAGATCGTTCTAAAGTTTGTTTATTTTCTTCAACCATTTTACTGTTATCGATAAAAGAAATCAATAGCGGGCTAACAAGTGCAACAAAATCTACTATTTTTTTTTGATGAATACTGATTAATTCATTAGCAAGTATGAATTTGAGTTTGGTGAACCTCATAAGATATTTGTAAATTATATAGAATATATTTCACATAATCATCGAGGATTGATGAAATATTACTTTTCTACGAATTCATTTTCAATTTAGTCACATTAAAAGTTAAATTTATCTTTATCATACATGAATTTATGAATCATTTCTTTCATTACTAAAAATATCTAGAGAAGATTACTTCATGACTGTTATGTTACATTGATAAAAAGCTGAGGAAGAAAAAAATGACGTATCAACGTTCTTTTTTTAAATATTCAGACCGATTGACACAATACTACAGAACGATAAAATGCACTCATTGCATAGCTCTAGATTTCAACAGAAAGAAAAATAAATAAACCTTTACGAGAAAAAAAAAGAAACTCAATGTTGTAGAGTACACTGATTTATTTTCTTTTTTCCAAAATGATGAAAATATCTTGCTACGACATTAATAATAAATGCATTGTTTTTCTATAGGATAAAAGTACGAATATGTGACTTTTGTTAGGAATTTATTTTGTTAACCTTGGTTAGAAAAGAATATTGAAATTATTCGAAAGAGAAAGGTTAATATATAAAATAATATGTGCAAACTGACTCAACAAAAATATACTCATAATTTGTAGGATCATCAATTTTTCTCGAAATTATTTCTCATAAGACTGAAGCATATCCTATCGACACAGTAAATGACTATTGCGATGTTAATTTCCCAATTCTGTGTCATTTAAATAAATATTTAAGATGAATAATCTACTTGACATACATATCAAAACATGTGCTAAAATGAAAGCAAAATTTTTACATAAAGAGATATTCTTTTAGTATTACAAATACTTCACTAGTGAAAAATTTTTTTCTTATTTGTTATTTATTCAGTATCGAATAATAATAAACGAAAGCCAACAAATAGAAATGAAAAGCTGGAATAGAGATAGAAAAAAAAGAAAATGTCATTTTTATATAAATTATTTAACGTTTTGTTGTAGCTGAAGTCGAAGAATGTGAAGCAGATGATTGTTCAACCGTTTTAGTTGTGGTATTTGCAGTGACTGCTGTACCAGGAACATGAGTTTCACCAGCAGCTCTAGCTTCAGTTGTAATAACTGTTGTAGATGTTGATGATAAAAGACGATTAGCATCTTGAGCACCTAACCTAAAAATTTTCAAATCATTTTTTTTCTATGAAATATTTTTGTCTTTTTTCGTATATAAATAACTTACATAGCGACTTGATCAGTGATAGATTCAATTTTTGCATTAGCTTGTGCTTGAGCTTCACGTAAAACACCTAATTTCAAACGATTTGCTTCATCATTTAATTCATCAATACGTCGTTTAGCTGATTCAAGAATCATTTCTTGACGAAGATTTAAATCTTTTTCAAGTGTTGATAAATTTTGTGCTTTAACTGCATCAAGTTCTTGAACATATTCTTGTAATTTACGTTTATATTCTTCTTCAATAGCAGCTGAACGAACATTTGCATCAGCTAAAAGATTTGCTTGTTGATTTTGAGTATCAGCAACAACTCGATTAATAGATGCTGCAACTTCTTCAGAAATTTGTTCTGTACGACGACGAGAATATTCATCTATTTGTTGATGAGTTGTACCTTAGACAAAAAAAAAATAAATAAATAAATATAAATGATTGAACAAGAAAAATAAATATTAAATTATCTTACCAAGTTTACTCATTAAAGCAGCCATTTTTTGTGCATTTTCCATATTAACTTTTGATTGTGTTTCAGTACTAACAACTGATTTGACAGCGACATTATCAGCAACGGCTGTATGAGCTACAGCTGAACCTGTAGTTGAAGTTGCTTCACGTCCAACAGTTGACATTGTTTGTAATATTTAAATTAATAACAAAGATAAATGTAAAATCTGAAAAAAAAATCACTTTGTTTAGATCAACCGAACGAGAGGTCAACCAGGACAAATAATTGTGATGTATGCGAACCTACTTGTTTCTTTATGCTTAAGAAGAATGAATATATCTATGCAATGTTCACCTTCTTATATACCCTGTCTATTTTCGTTATCTATTGTAAAGTTGATTCATCATTCTTCTAATTGTATATATATTTCTTATCGGACATTCTGTTACGTGAATGTTTTTCATGTGCTTTTTTTGTTTGCGATGAAAAAAAAACACGTGCCTATCAATGTGAACAATAGAAGAAAGAATAAGAAGTGCATTCTTTATCTACTCGAATAATGAATAATTGAATATAAAAAAGAAAAATTTGCATGTTTATTATTAACAGTAACTTTCTTCTTTTAGTAGAAAAATGGAAAAAAGAAATACTTGATGACTCTCTTTTTTGAATTTATTAATATAAAAAGTGTAAGTGAATATGCATTATTGCTTCTTTCTAACTTACAGATAACAAGAGGTGGAGAGGTACACCGAAAACATTCTCTACTTAACAAAAAAAAAAAGAATAGATATCAAACGTAACATAAACTTGCGTTCCAATGTCCAAATTCCAAAAGAATAATCAACACATCTTACATAAAAATAATGTACCGTATAATTTCTTACTCTCGTGTTTTATCTTTTTTTTCTATTTATTTAACTTACATAATTATCGTTGAAAAATACATTATTACCAATTTTACTCTTTATTAGTAGCGATATTTACTCTCAAAAAAAAAAATCATTCAAACATTATGGAAGCATCTTAAGGGGGCGCCCCTTTCCGGGGTTTCTCGAGAACGGTTCAGTGAAAAATTATGAAACTTTCATGACAGATAGATTTCGATGAGTAGAGCAAAAGTTGTCATAGAATCAAAAAACCCAGATCCTTCCTTCAGGAAGGTATAGGATCCTCAAGAGTCAAAAATGAGTAGAAGTTTCTCCCACCTCGCAAAAAGTTATACTATGTTTTTCTGAGCTACAATTTTTTCTATGACAACTAGGATCGAATTGGGATGTGTCTTTTCTTTGTTTCTTCGAAAAATATTGTTCCTACGGCTCAGGAGAGGCAAAATACCGAAGGCACTATCAAAAAATATGTTTTTTTTTCAATGGTGCTAACTTCTCATAGGCTGCCAAATTTCACAGAAACAATATTATCAAGAAAGAAAAAAAAGACACACGCCAATTTAATCAAGGTACTTATTTAAATAACTTAGAGTCCGATCGATTTTACCGCAGAGAAGAAAAAGGTGGAAAACTTTATTTTTTCCTTTGAAAATTTGATTTTGAAAAAAACGCAAAGAAAGTTGCACTTTTTGAATTTTTTAGCATAAAATTGAGTTTGGTTTTCGCGATTTTACATACAGAAAGGTGGTTTTGCCTCCTTAAAATGTGCTCGTTTGATAGAGAGTATTTGAATTCACATAGCCAACATAAAAAACTGAAAATTTTCGGTCGAGAAAGGAAGATCCATTAAAGAGAGAGAATAATAACAGACAAAAGCAAAATACAGACATACACGAAATGGGCTTAACTTGATCAAAGATACTTTTTTTTTCGTTACTTAAATGATTTATATTTATAAAAGAAAGTTTGAACATATGTATATTAACTGAAAGTCAAATGTAGAGCTCATCGGATCCAAGCCGACATACTCTAGTCAATAGTTAAGATTTCTCAACGATAGCCATTTGAAGCAAATCTTTCTTTTGTAAGTGAACCAAGCTCTGTTGTTTATTAGAAAATTTTAGATGAAATGAATATTTACTTGACCTTTGACAGTCCTCTACGACTTCAGATTGTGATATTAAGATGCATCTGCATACTTTAACCTTTATCTTTGACATATGTTTTCTGGATCATTCTCTTCTATCGATTTGTACCTACTACTTCTTTTCTTTTGTTTGTTTTTTGGATCTTCATATAATAGAACAGTTTTTTCGTCATCTTAAAAAAACAGCAAGATTTTGTATGAAAATATGTGAAAAGGAAAACATGCAAATAGAAATATATTGAAAGAGATTAATTACAATGTTTATAATTTATTTATAGAATTATTTGTAACTTTAATCAATTGTATACAAACTAATGAACATTATTTATCATTCATTTTCGACAGAATTTTACACACATTTTCCTTTTTTTTTGTTATTAAGAACATAACATTTGCAAATCTATTTAGAGTGAATGTATGGAATACATTGATGATTCCAATGTCTAGTTACTAAACAAGGTTATCCAATCTATAGAAAATGATTCTAACAAGATGAAAATATTAAATATTATCCAAGAATAACGATATAATTTTTTCGATTTTACGACATGAAAAAAAAGCTTCGTTAGATATTAATTATATGTCGTACTCATGAATATGGTTAAAAGTATGAAAATTTAGGATGATATTTACCTAGTGACAAAAAGATTAGATAACAAATGTTGAGCGTTTTAGAATTTATGATAAGGAAGAAAAGCCATATTTTCTGAGTGGTTTCAAGAGTTTTTTAGTCTTAACTTAAGACAGAATCTTCTCACGTTCAGTTAGTCAAAAGATCCGGAGAGCATTTTCCTTGCCTTGTCTTTTTCAGCATAAGTTTGAGCATATTTATTCCAACATCATTGATCGCTGACTATGATATTACCTTATCTGTATCAATTAGATAGATGCTAATTGCATGAGTAACTTGCCAAGTAAATTATAAAAAACGAAGGATTTGCTTTGTGTTCGAGACTAATACCATTATGTTCTTAATTGTAATCTTCTAATTTTTAATAAATTATTTACTTGTTCTTATTTTGCTGTATTTTTTTTATTTAAAATTATTATATGATGAAAATTAAAAACATAATCATAATAATGAATATTAAATTATAATGTGATGTTCTGATTAACAAAGTTGTCTTCGTTAGACATAGTGCACAGAAGTGTAAAATTTCTTCTATTTAAATTTTCTTTTTCGTTTTTCTCTTTCTTTTAGATGTATTAGGATACTTAACATATGCTAGTGAGATGGCAAGATGAGACTGCTGGTATAGTACAAATGAACTATTTGTCTTCTTCTTCTTCCGTGCTACTATCGTATGTTAAATATCATAACACATCTGAAAAGAAGAGAGAAAAATGAAAAATAAACAAAAAAGTTGAAATAGAAAAATTTTTACATTCAAAATTCAACGAAATAAAGATTAGTAAAAAGTTTACTAAAGATTAATTATTTGCGCCCTTCCGAATAATTCGCAATGGATTTTCCTCTATTGTGATAGCTTTAAATTTACTCCAATTCAGAAAGTATTAACTTTAATCATTATGTAATATTCAGAAGTTTTCAGAATAGTATAACTCAAAGTTCAGTATTCTATCCTTCTCATTGACACTAATTTATTCATAGATCAAAAATAATTAATACGAAATAGCCGTTTTTCACAAACAAATAGATATCTGCAAGTATAGACAAGATCAATATCTCTGTGTAAGATCCCAATGAGAATTAGACAAAAAATTTGGTCTCCTCCCTTCTCTAAACATTCTTAACAACGTCTTCCCTTCATCATAAACGTTATCGATATACGATCAAAAACCGTATATCAATAACATCTCGTTTAATATATGAACAACTTTCTTATTACATTTCTCGATGGTTAAGTAAAAAGATGATGAAGATAAGTATGCCAAAATAGATGGAGTAAATCAATTTTTCTGGGATTAGAAGCAGCAACAACTACATCATGTTTCACATTTTAATCCCGCAGGAATTGTGCTAAAAGCTTTTCCCATTAAATCTAATTTGTTCCTATTTGCTAGTAATCATTGTTGTTGTCTTTTTTTTTTAAAGTGTACTTATGAATAAACATGAACACATCATATAGAGTCAAAAGAAAAATTCTTAAAGGAAAGATCGACTCGAGTTTAATACACTCGAAACAACATGACAAGAAAAAAAAAGAACAAGAAAAGAAACCAAAGAAGACTTGTACTAATCGTGTATTTGTCTGTCCGTTTGTACACAGGAAATATTTTCTTTTCTTCTAATCAAATATCTGTTGCACGAAAACGTGCTGCTTGTTCTCGAATTCCTAAAAAACACAAAAAAATGATTAAGATAAAAAGTTTTTTGTACTAAAATCAAATCTATTTTTCTTACTTTTTTCATACTCAACTTTGTCTTGCATATAAATAGCATAAGCTTCAGCTTGTGCTGGATCTTTTGGATTTGGTTCATTTAATAATTCTTGTATACCAAGTAAAATTTGTTTTATTGTTATTGCTGGACGCCAATCTTTTTCTTCATCAAGTAATGATAAACATACTGTTCCACTCTAGTTTTTATCAGTAAGTATGAAAAGAATCTTTTTTGTTTTTTTTTGTAAATGACTTACTGGATATATATTTGGATGAAATAAAGGTGGTTCAAATTTACATTTTGGTGGTGTTGATGGATAATCATCTTTAAAAATCATACCTAAAACGAATTTTATATTCTTTTTAAGTGTTTTTTTTTGTTCAACTTACGCAATTTGAATAAACCACCTTCCCAGGATGTGCCTGTTTTTCCTGAAGAAAAAAGAAGACTTAAAATCATTGAAATAAATTTTCTTTTTACAATACCTGGAATACCACATTCCCAATTGAGTAAATTCAATGTACCATCAGCATTTTTTGATGGTCTCTAAAAATACAAAAAAAATAAAAATAAAAATAAAACACATGAATATTTTTGAAAAGAAATTAAATTTACAGCAATAAAACCAAACGGATGATCTCGTCGCCATGCTTTTCGTTCTTCAGTAAGGCGTGCTGCTGAAATTCCAGCCATTAATTATTTGATTTTGATTTTATATGTATAAGACAATAATTTGTTCGATCCTTGAAAAGAAGAATAAAAGAAAGAGATTTCATCAAACCGACCATTCATAATAGAAGAGAACAAAGAATGATTCAAATATAAATTAATTGGTTAATAGATTATGTCCATTCTCCTCTTTCATTTCTTTACTACTTATTAAAGTATATTATAAGAATTTTTTTAAAATTTCTGTCGAATAAAAATTATTAAAAAGAGATAAAGTTATATTTAATCATAGATGACGCTACTGAATATAATATATGCTTTAACCCATTTCGATAGGACACGCTAGCGACACATGTGTCGACACAACGACACGATGGACGTACGTGTGACGATAGGTGTCATCACTAGACCCCGTCGGGTAGGACCCACACCCGAGCGGGTCCGGGTCCAAAAATTTTATTTTGACCGGGTCCGGGTCTGAAAATTTTGCTTTGACCGGGCCCGGGTCGGGTCCAGGTCTGAAGGAAACTTTGATCCATACAATTTATTTTGAATTTTTTTAAAGTTTTGTTCGTTTTATACAAAGAAGAAATCAAATGTATTTAGAAAATAGATAAAAAAGCAACAAAACTCTTCTTGACTATACTATTTAAACTGACTTGTTATTGTGTTTGGATCCAAAAAATTTAAGCGATCAGGTGCGGATCGGGTCCGGATCCAAAAACCCTGGACCATAATCCGGGTCCAGGTCCAAAAATCCTGGACCCGACGGGGTCTAGTCGTCACACTGTATTTTTTTGTTCGCGATAGCGGGCGTCAGACAAGAAAAAAAGTAGTGGCGTCTTCTCCGTCTATATGAGCAAAAGAAAAAATTCATTGTGATCCGTCAAAACAGACACACTTTTTTTATTCTTTCTCTTTCTGTTCAACTACATATATAAATAGATAGCGTCGACAACATTGAGTATGTTACAAGAAATCGTCGAATATCAGCATTCATCACATCAACAATACTCAACATTGAGTTTTGTCGAATAGACACAAAAGAGATATAATAAATCGTGTTTCATTTATAAATTCTGCAAAAATTAGTTTTTCAATGAAAAATCAACTAGACATATCTAAAGGCAGCAGTTTGAGTATGCTCATTACATTTACATTACACTTTGTTCTGAAGGATACCACAACAAGTCGTTCGTTATTTCAGTACATGCTTGTAGATCCTATATATCATCACGTATTGACTGCATGTTGTTTGGGTTATTATCCGACAAGTACGTATTTTTGAACTATAGATAATTTACATTTTGTTGTACTATGTTTAGATCAACAACTATGCCACTCTTATATTACCTACGAAGATTCAAAGAATGTAGTTATAATGGTTATAGTTCTCCCTTCTTTAACTATCATGTTATTGTGTTCTGCTCGACAAATGCAGAATGTCATTATTAAATCGTCACTGATGATTATGACTTCATGGCTCTTGGCTCGTTGTTGCGATACTATTTACATATGGTATGAAGTAGACGTATTCACTGTCTATTTGCTTGTTTGGCAATTTGTGTGTCTTATACACAAATGAATTAATCAAGATCTACCGTATCTTTCTTTTACTCTTCATCAAAAAGCATGTTGCTTATATATGGCATTTTTGGCATTTATTATGCACGATGTTGCATTAAAATATTTACCTACATACATTAATTTTGCTTTACTTTGGGTGATGTCTATTGTAGATATGTAAGTCTGTATAAATGTTTTTTCTTTATTTAATAGTCGAATATTCTTCTCTCAATAATATTGAGAATTAAATTTACGCAAATATTACTAATAGTAACCTTTTGAGATATAATTAACCTGTCGAAGTCTAAAGACATTCATATCGAAATAAAGGTTTTAGTCATTTGTGTTGTCTATAGAAATACTCACATATTGTTGTAATATATAGATTGCTTCAGATATAGTTTTTCTTCTATTAACATCATTTAGATACCTTTATATTTCTGGAAAGCTCTCAATGTTCTTTTGGATCGTGTGAGTCAAAAATCAACGAAGAAAAATATTCCAAGGTAAATGAAGAATTTCTGGAAGTCTTCTATCTAGAATTGTTTTACTTGTGTCAAAATGTATTTTATAATGTACACTTATGCGCACTTCTTTATTAGTTTACAGTAACTACGGTGTATAGCAATCGTAGCAAAATGTTATCGGAACATCACAAAGAAACATTTAGATATTGCTGAGCTAAATTAAGTCGATCAATTGATAATACCACTTTATTCGGTAGCTATTTATATTTCTTTCGTTTATTTACTATTCTTAGACAAGTACAGGAAAAAAGAATCATCCGAAAATTCTTCCCATTAATGCTTCGAGAGCTTGCAGCGATAAAATATGTCACTCCATTATCTATTCGAAAACTAGCAAAATATGAGACTCTGAATAAATTGATAATGAAAATAAAAAGCTATCCATATCTATTCAAAAATACAGTGGATTTGGTTGAAAATTGAACTACTCGGTAGAGAAAGTAACTCGAGAGCTGAAATTTTCAGTACGTCAATAAAACAAATAATTGTATTAAGGTCTCCACCCTAAAAGTCATTTTTTGCCAAATTTTTCGATTTTATGATTTTATAGCGTCTTAGATAGAGCAAAGTGTCTGCTATCGAACGCACTATAGCTTATTTATTTTATGATAAGTTGGACACTTTGAAACGATAAAAAACAGTGTGAAAACGACAAAAAAACCACGATCGTAACGGCAATCGTTTCCGCTAGTACGTAAACGCTCATCTTAAAAGTCATCGTTTATCGGTGTATTTCTATGTTTTACGGCAGATCGTAAACGACCATCGTAACGACAGTCGTTTTTTCACCGTTTTCAAGTCGTTTAAGACAGTTTACGAGCCGTTCTATACGACATGGAAAGAGAAGTTTCGAGCAGTTTTTAATTTGGTCGACTCTATTTATGAAATAGAAGATGAAACTTTCATGCTCCTTGTGCGAGTACTTGATTAAAAACTCTTTCATATTCTCAAAGGAATCATATTAAAATAGTTTCAGAGATATTTTAGGATACTGTGGTAGAAAAATATAATTGATTTACATTGTCTAATATTTTTGATATCTTTTGCATGAAGTAGTTCTTTTCCTCTTATTTATATAAAATCGACTTATGTGTTTCTTTTCTATCAACATAGTATAACATGTTTGCATCCAAGATGGCGTATGGATGATCCAATCACAAAAGCATTAGTGCACGCCGTGTCATTCGATTATCCAACAGTTCCATAGGGTTTATACTGTATATATGATATCAACGAGCTCGATGATGATGTAGAAAATGAAGACGAGTCGTTTCCAGTCATTGGACTGGCTGACTTTTTTTTCTTCGATCTTTTACTGTTACTCGTTATACCTGCGAATTCTTCAATTACAACAAGAGCATGCATAGCATTCGGCTGTATCATTAGCGTACAAATCGGTGATCTGTGTACCAATTCCATGCTTCGTCCTGGTGATTATAATGGTTGGCCGGCTCTGCCTTTTCCACTGATCAGTGTCACTACATACGCTATAGTTGTTGATGCCATTATGCAATATTCAAGTGGTGCCTGTTAAGATCGACTGAAGTCAAAGAGCAATCTTTATTATGACTTTTGATACTTTAACTTGATTCATCTATCAGAAATTAGTTTCGATCTCGATTGTTAAAACAGGAATTCCATAATTTGATTACGTGCAACATATGCCGTAAATTTGTATATTTATTTTTTTCTGCAATAAAGTTTATATCCTTATATATTATTGAAGTGGCACAAACAGTTAATGAGTCATGCTCAAATATTTCAAACTTGCGAATAATCGTACTAAATTTTTTCTTTTTACATTATTCGTTCAGGTACCTTAAGAATGAATAGATTAACGATCCAACTGATTCTTACAACTATGTTAGCTTCCAAAAAGAAATACAAGAACCATACTTAACTCGGGCGTAGGTCAGCAGAACGACTTTTGTTTATTTCCATAAAACCTTGCAAGGATTTTCTCTGAGAAATGCATTCGAACTTTTTGACTATTGACATTTACGAGGGTATATTCCCAAGTGTCACATCGCTTTTGAGTTGAGAGTATGAGCATCATGTAGGTCCTAATGATATATGAATACTCTGAAAAAAGTTCGTGTTACTAGCTTATTGGTGCTGAGATATTGTATTTTTACGGTATGTTTAAGCGCAAAGCTGTAGTCCCTCTCAGGAACATCAGAAAAACTGAGTTTCGAATTTTGACTTGAAACTTTGCATACAGACAGGTCTCAGTGAGAATAGTTTATTGTGAAAGTTTCAGATCTTTTGGTTGTTCTTATCCTAAGATACGGCTATGATAAAATCGCTCACATACATGGGCAGATTCGATGTTTATATTTCAGGATAGAACCAAATCAAAAGATCCGAAACTTTCGCAATAGACTATTCACGTTAAGATCTATCTCTATACAAAGTTTTAAATCGAAATTCGAAAATTACTTTTTTCGGTGTCCCTGAGAATACCCACGGCATTCATTTTTCAAGAATACCGTAAAAATGCAACATCTCGGCACCAATAAGCTAGCAGCACGAACTTTTTTCAGAGTATTCATAGATCATTAGGACCTATATGATGCTCATACTCTCGACTCAAAAGCGATGTGACACTTGGGAATGTTCCCTCATTAGTTATTTGTTCAGAAAATTTTGGAATTTTCATGTCACTCAATAAAAAAACGAAACTATATCATCAGTTAAAAGTTTTTTAAATTATTTAACGATCAATATTGAAGCACTTGATTGTGTCATTTGACAACATATTTCTATCAATGGGCATTGCTATATAAAAAATGAGTTTATATAAGTAAATGAATGATTATTATGTATTCCATCTCAATAATATACTCATATACAAGGTCCGACAAATGCGACAAGCAGACTGAAGTTTTATTGCTCAATAGGAAGATTAGACACCATAGAACGAAAACAAATTGAATTTATCTGACAATTCAATTCGATTTCGTTCAGGAAAATTAAATTGACGCCGAATTCAAATTTTCTGATTGGTTTTCAATCTCTGTTAGACACGTTGCATTTTCTTTGAATTACTAACAATGACAAGAGAAACACTTAAGTATGACAAAAATGTTGGTGTTGATCATTTATTCTTTCATACGTTTATGAAAGAGAGACTGTATAAACAGAAGAGAGCGAAGGAAATGAATTAAGAGTGACTGATAAACACTGTACGGACAGAAATATTTAAATACATGCATGTAGAAAAGGAAACAGACAAACAATTGACGGATCACTATCCGTTGTACTAAGATCATCAAAAAAAAAAGAGAATATGATTTAATATTTACTCTCTCGTAAACTAATTATCTTTTTTTTCTTAATAATTTTTTTTTGACAGAGTTTCTTTTCGTTTAAACAGAAATAAAACGATGTGTTTATATAGTACAGTATCGTAAAGTACAGGCGGGTGGTGCATACAAATAATATACATAAAATCCATTACAATTAGTTACTAAAGTCGAAATTGTCCAATAACATAAATCTGAATTATAATTAAAGCAGACGTAACCAGATGTAACAGCACCAGCTAGAGATGGATAAATTCCACTATACCAACCAGGAGCATCTGCTCCACATCGACCTTCATCAATAGGACAACTAGCTAAAAGAGTTCCACCTGATCCAGTAAAACGAACCCATATTGGTGTTGTTGATAATATTGTATCATCACAAGTACTCAATACTAAATTGTCCGGACTTCGTGTGTCATCTGTAATTGTTGTATAACTAGAACATTGAGCAGGAAGTGAACTTGCAGTTACTGTAGTAGTAATTGATGTTGTCGGACATATTGTAGAAATTGCTGTTAAATTAAAGAAGAATGTTTAAATACAAAATATTTTAAGTTCTTGTCTACAGATAAGTTATACATACTTGTCGTAATTACCGTGTCACCTAGAAACCACAGAAAAAAAAGGATTTGAAATATTAACTTATTTAATGGTTTGTTTTTAAAATGATTGATTCATACTTTTATTTGATAAAACGACAATAGGTATCACAATAGCACTGACTAAGGCAAGAAATATTAGAATGCCCAAACCAATCCAGAAGATAGTTGGCCATGGAAATGTCTTTGATTTTCTTTAATATTATAATCAAAATTGATCTTAATCAAAATAGTGATTACTCACGGTGATGAAGGTACCAAATTAATTTCTGATAGTCTCCTGGTATAATTATCAGATATCTTCTCATTCGAAGATGATGATGCATTAACTGGATAACGAGGATATTGACCATAAGGTTGAATTTTTGATGCCATATTTTATTAATTGTGTTTTTTCTTCTTATAAAATATTTAAATACAGAAAGAATAATATTTTGATTTACACAATGTATTATGAAACATAAGAATAAATAATTGCTGTTTTTCTCTTTTCGATTATAGTAAAAACGAATAATAATTTGAACGACGGGTGATTAAAGTCCTATAGGTGGTTACCTGATCATTAGCTTTTATCGATTAGTTACATGCTGAGTGGTATCGAAGGCATGTTACCAACACAAATTGTTCTAACAATTGATTGGAAAAAAAGCAGGAATCAATCTTCAACAGTTCATAATGATACAGATATATTTTTATATTAAAAAAGGTTTTTTAATAATCATTAGAAAAAACAAGAATTGATGCAGCTCTCAATTTTTATAAACATTTTTCATAGATAGAATTAATTGTGAGAATTTTTCTACCGTTTTATTAGGAATTTTTAATAAAAACCAATAAATAGAACGAGATTTATAAATCGAAATTGTTTAAAAATAACAATAAGAAAATATATGTCAATATTTATGTATCTACTCTCCATCTTGATCTACGACTTGTTTCAATCGACTCGGAAATTTTTCCATTATTTGCTCGTATTTTGCTGCAATGAGTATTTTCCATTTTTTCCACTACTCAATTTTCCAATTCTGATTTATTATCAAATCTTTCTCTTCTAAATTTTTTCTTTAATTGCATCCCAAACTGTCTCATTTAACCAAATATCAGTAAATGTTGCACCACCAACTTCAAAGGATGAAATCAGACGGTCAAAGAGATTTTCAAACAGAGAAATGATCAATTTTGTTGACCAAACGCTTGATTGCATAGAGAGAAAAATCGTGAAGTCACTTAAAAGACAAGCTCTGATCGTATTGACAAAGCCATTGTGATTGATATTCATCGCTAATGAGATTGATCTCTTCTCACATTTCCGACTCTCGAAATTATTTTGGCACAAGTGAATACCAAACAGACGAGAATATCGTTCGTTAGCTGAACGGACTACGCTGCTTTTTTGTTTTTACTCTTTTGTTAGATCGGCCATACCCAGGCAGACAACAAAACGGCGTTTAAACGTCTCAACATCTCAACTGTTTAAACAGTGTCATTAGTCGCCAAAAACGCGTTAAAACGGTTTATGAAAAATTATCTTTTAACACGTTTTACATGTTTAAACGCTTGGAGTCATTGAAATTGTAACTGTTTTAACGCGTTTTTGGCGACTAATGACATTGTTTAAACAGTTGAAATAATTTCCGTTGTCACGCCTCTTAATGATCAACAAATGTTTCATCTAAATAATGAAACATCAACAATTTATAATTAAAGTCTCTTCTCATTGATAAACTGATCGATTATATTCAAATTATCATTAGATTAATGTTGAATTGACATATGTTTATCGTTTATACTTTGAAAACAGTACAGAGAATTTCTCTTTCATCAGTGCGTTTCTTTTTGTGTTAAGAGTAAGTTTACATTTTACTATTTACTTGTTGGTATTTTTTTCTTTTTGTTTTTTTCAATAGTGGAAAGAAAGATAAAATACGTAGGTTTAATCGAACAGCATTAACGTCTTGTCATTCCATTCCACTATTAGAAAAAACAAAAAGAAAAAATACCAATAAGCAAATAGTAAAATGTAAGCTTACTCTTAACATAAAAAGAAACGAACTGATGAGAGATAAATTCTCTGCACTGTTTTCAAAGTATAAACTATAAACATATGTCAATTTAACATTAATCTAATGATAATTCGAATATAATCGATCAGTTTATCAACGAGAAGAAAACTGAATTATTTCCATTCATGTTTTAAGTGGCGGATAAGAGAGACTGACGAATAGACTTAAAATACTACGACTAACACAGGAATTGATGAAAAGGCAAAGCACGGACTATCTAACCAGCTTCTAATATAAGGAAAACTACAATCAGAACTACTATGGTAGACAGATGTTCTTTTAAAGTATCATTAATAAATTTAACTTCATTTCGATCAAATTCTAAAGTATCAAAGTTTGGAGATATGATATAACTAGAAATGTCATCAATGCACTACGAAATCTCATAATTATAGTGTGTATTAAGTCGGTCACGAAATTGATTAAGCCACACCTATGCATCAGAATGTTATCTGTTTTTTCCTGTAGTGACGATATTTCTTTTAAAGCTCATTCATATTTCGATGACTTAAGATTCTCTTTTCATCGAGTAGAAAACTCAACTGTTTCAAACGTCTCATATGTCACACGTACTCGTGATGACCATTCTATATAAAACATTTCAAGTGAGGAATATTTAATGGACTTTGCTATGTTTATCGTCTGCGAGTGACTCTTCTAATTGTATTATCATCGGTATCGTACATATTATGTCTAAGTCAACACTAACCTAGTGAATATTGAAGTATTTTCCACAGAAACTCACTATTAATAGCAATGTAGTAAGTGCCCTATTCTTTCTCTCATTCTGAGTGATTTCCGCAGAAAAGAACTTATCTAATTCGAACATATTCAGTCTTACACAAAAGAAGCATGTGCCATTACACATAGTGAATTTAACATTAATTTTAAGTATACGTTAGAAATAAAATGGCCTACTCAGTTAGGCAAGTACTCTGTGAACGAAACAGAACACAAATGAATTCCAAATGAAAAGAACAGGCGAATAATCGGACGAGAGAGTGATAAAAGAATGACCTCTTTTTTCCTTTCTCTGTGAACTGGACGGAAAGAAAAGACAGAATGGAAAAAATTTCTTGAAAATGCGGATTGATGATAACTCTGTTTCTATGTGACGATGATAACTAGATGAAATATAAAATAATCAAGTTTTAAAACTTTTACTGAAACAGCTAAACTCTATGTCATTTTTTAATTAAAACCTATATGAGAACAGGATAACTTGTTTATCTTGGTTGAACATGATTGTTGTTCATACGTACTTGCACTTTTAAAAGAGAAATAGAGAAGATTATGATTATCGTATAGTGTAAAAAGGAAGGAATCGTTTATGTTGTTGGTATGATATATTAATATGTAGTAACATTAATGATGATTTCCCCCTTCCATTTAGTTTTTGAACGTTAACAATATTTGTCTGCACTTATTATAATTCACAAAATACAATTGAGCTAGAATTAATCTTCTTAAATGTGCAGTAAAATAAACCAATATTGGTTAAGATGATGTTATAATATTCATTGAACAAATCAATATAACGTTAATTGTCTACACGCTGATTGTTAAAGATATTCAGTATGAGATGTGCTGCACGCCTATTTCTGTTAAGCAAATCAGTTTATGGCAGTTACTCTGCTAGAAATCAAAGATAAGCTTTGTTACATTCTCATCAGATATTAACACTGAACAATATTTGTCTTAACGATTTTCAATTAAGAGTGAAATATTGCTGCGTAGATATACTGATAATACATCAATAAAGAATATGTAAACTCACTAGGCGGAGTATTTTCAGTAAGATCGTTATACTGCTATCGATTTTGACTTCGACTTAATGGCAATAAAAAAATTTCTTGGTTTAAAATTCCTACTCACTAATAATAAATATCGGACCTGATCTTTTGCTGTTTATTAGTAAAAGATACATGTTCTAACCATCAGTTGCCTGTTACTAATAAATAACGAGCCGTAAAACTTACTACTTACTAGAAAGTAACCAGACTGATTACTGATTATGTTGTGTTACGTGATTTAGACACATTTAACCAGGTATAACTGTCACAGAATAGTTAAATTAAAAGTTTACTGCTCGTTAGTAACAGATTAGTAGCGCAGACTATCACCTACTAACCACTGGTTAGTGGCGATGCACATTATTTACTAACAGCATAATAATAAAATTTTTGTAGTTTTGATTTTTTTTGTTAATCGAAGCAAAACGGAAAAATACTGTTAAAACGGTTTTTTTTTCGAAAAAAACGCGAAACTGGGACGTTTTTAACGATTTTGTCAAATTTAGTTGAAAATAAACTGAAAAAACGATTTAAAAGTGAAAAATTCAGTAGTAAACGCGTTTAAACGAGTTAAAACGGTGTAAACGCTTTTTTAACGCGCTTAAACGCCTTTCTGGCCGTTTATTGTCTGCCTGGGTATTGCAGAAATAATTCAAGATAAATTATCCCAGCAACAATCAATTTGACGAACGGTTTAGCAAGAATCTCTTCTCAACATTTCTTTCTCTAAAGAAACGATTTCATTCAGTTTTTCTTATGATGTGAGACAGTTTCCACCATACCAAACGACTTTTTATTCAAATGAATAGTGTGATAACATGTCCTGCAGCTGAGATATTTTTTGAATTTTGATACTTACTGTACAACCGATTAACTTCATCGAAGTAGTTATTGTTCATTCAATCGAACATAGACTCATCGCTGCGTACTAAAAATTAATACTTACCTCACTTATTCTGATCTAGTTCGTGTAGAATCTAGTCAAATTGGTATAAGAAAATGTCTGAAACAAGTCGATTTACAAACAGTAAGCATCAAGTACAGGAGCGCGGTGTTATTTCGCATATTGACATTAACTTTAGTTGAAAGACAAATGAAAATATGATTGGTTCAAAGAAAACATCGATTTCTCTCGTTCTAATTTAGACACATTCATTTAAAACTTCGAAATGAAATTTATTTGCCGAAAACAATCTGAAATGAACACCGTTAGTTGTGTCTTTAAAACAACGACAAAAGAAAGAAGAACAGAATGTTTGGTAAAATTTCTGTTCGTGGTTAATGTGCAAAATTATAAGCAGGAAGAATCAAACTCCGATGGTTACCTTTGAACAAGTATCAAACCAATTATGATTTCTTTGTCTAAAAATTAATGAGACGAAATCCATATGGATCACTCTTTATTCCTTATATGATAAAAAAGTATTTTTCACATTAATTTTACTACTGTATCACGTGCACTGACAATGTTTTATCCAACTTCTGTAAGTACAAGATTTTAAAGTCTATCAGGATAACAATCTATCTTCGGAAGGACGAACTCGATCTCTTGAACTCACTTAGAATAAACCACTGTGTACTTCATGGTCTCATTGAAATCAGTCTATCTATTCTATCATCAGTTTTCTACCATATTCATTATGATTGGAATCATGAAAAAAAAATTTTAAATAGTTTTTATTGATATCTTCTTTTATTTTTTCTTTACTATGAACATGAAGTTTATGATATTGCACAATTGATTTGTATTTTTCTTCAAAGTGCTCCGACAACGTTTGTTTCTTATTATCATCTTATCTATGTTGAAATTATTTTACTTTTATTGCTGATTGAATTTGGAATTTGAATATTAATAGATATAAAACAAAGTTATATTAATCCAACGTCTTACTATTATGAGAAAAATATTTCGTAATGAATTAAAGCATCACTTTGAATGAAATGATAAGAAAAGTTAATTAATCTATATTTGACATATGTTAATATGTATGACACATATAGTAAATCTCTTAACTAAAGTTAAGAATTTATATTGTATTTCCAGTAAAATTATATTCATATATTAATGTAATTTTCTATATTTATTTCATTTTTTGCTTAGCAAAATAAGAGATAACATCATAAACATTCTAGTAGATAATTGTATATTATTTGATGTCATGATTTTTATCGTTTATCTTTTGGGCATATCGAACTTATTATTCAGGATATTTACTTACAGTATCAATAGAAAAAATCTTTGACATTACTGACCCGAATTCATGCGAGTAAATGTTAAATTTTCCAGATCAAACGCCTTTTTTTTTGTCTAAAGACTTATAATAAATATATTGCCATGTAAGTAATAAATGATGCATAAAATATATATTTTCCCATCGATGCCCTTTTTCTGTCCTTTGATGTCTTACAGATAAGAAGAAAACTGGCCTTCTGTTAATTGTATGAGGACATGTCTTCTATTTTTGTTATGCGTTTTATGTCAATTCTGTAACTACAAAATAATAGAGTAACGAAAATCAAAACTATAATAATTTACTTCGATCAATGTCTAATAATTTCATGATAGATGGAACTATAGATTTCTAGAAACCAATGTATATAATAAATAGCTTTTTATTCAAAATTTTGCATAGAAATAAACAATAGATGAAATATCTTATCATTTGGGATTTGGACAAAAAAAAAGTACATTGATTCTCATATTATAATCCATTGTTGACTGCATGAGTTTTTGTAACTATAATAAAGATTATCGATGCACACACATAATTTTGCTATGTATAAGAGTAAAACATGTTTTTTGTTTACTTCACATTGTCAATAAACATCGAGGTATGACCACTTTTGAATTCTTACCAAGGAAAATATTTTGGGTATTGTAATGAAATAAATATAAATAATGCATTTGATGATGTAAACAATCGTTGTAATCATTTAATTTGAAATACTCTATGATATGTCAATATCGAATATGTTGAGAATGAGATATTTTTATTCTGAAATACTACTCTATTCGAATATTAAAAAAAGAATTAAACATAACCATTATATTACTTATCTTAAATAAGAAGGTCAATGATAATTTTGAAATAAATAAAACTTTTATTTTTCAGATTTTTTTTCTTTAGTATACTGTCAATTAGAAACATTCAACATTCAATATCATATTGAACAACTCAATCTTTTGTTATTAATAATCAAGAAATCAAATATTCTTGTCCGTCAATCATAACATCAATAGTAAGCAAATGTTTTTTTTTTCTGAAGATCTGTAATCCACATTGTTTTTATACTTCAGTTACTTTAGATACTTATGCGTTCGCCAACATCTATTACAACAATAATGACTTCCACAATACTAGCTGTTCAATATTCGTGTTATACATCAATTAAATATGGTACTCGTCTTTGCTTCCTATATAGTTTTATTTTAAGCTAGCCAATCTGTTATTACTTGTCATCATAGCATTGTTTTGCTTGTCTGAGACTGCGAAAACATTAATCGCTACTTGTCATTTTCTTTCCTTTATTGTTACATGAGTACAACTGTATTGTATATAAGAACACATCCACCAATGACAGGTCGTATAATCAAAGGGTTAACATGTCATAGTGCGTGCAGCAACACGTCTCAATAATTGAATATTATTATGGCTATGAAATGCTGCTATGGTTTTTTTTTGTATATGATCTTATTCAACCGCCAACATATTGTACTATTTTATGTTTGAACTTCATAAAAATAAACTGACGTGTATTAAGACCTTAGGTCTAGGAGAAAAAAAAAGTAATTGATATAGAATAGAATTAATTTCATAAATTAGTATTATTAATCTTTATTTATTTTATAATTATAAAAATAGAACACATTAATGTTTTAATGAAATTTGTATAGATATATCTTCTGATGATAACTTCAATTATCTAAAAATATTTTCAAAGAATTTTCGCTTTGTTACATTTGTTGTCGAATTTATATCATCAAGATTTACTTTAATAATTAATACGAATTTTAGATGAAATTCTTGCATAGAAAGCAATCGAAGATTAACATAGGAAATCTAATCTTCATTACTATAAGTGCATTTGATTTGTTTTTATCTTGATCTATGTATTGATCTGAACTACTTGTCATACGAGTTGTATAATCTGAATAAATGTATATAATCATAAACAGTTATTTGGGAAAAACTTATATTAAATGAATCGATCCATTCAAGTATAAGAATTGATTGAAAGGATATACTCATTGGAAAATATAATTCATGAAATTGAATCAATGTTGTAGTTATTAAAATTTTAATATTTAAAAAAAAAACATGTCAAATGTATTTCAAGTTCTTTGATTGTAGATGATTAACATTCGTTAACTAATATATTAAATTCATCTAATTATTAATTCTATTTGGACTTGTTTGAAATGATTTTTAATAATTTGAATAAATTTCTATTCTTTTAAGCTATTTGTTCTTTTAACTGATTCATTTATTATTTCAACAATTGTAATAATAACAAAAATGATTTCATCTAAATTTGTTTGTAATTACAAATTTCTATATTTGATCAAATGAAGAGAAAACAAGAAATTAAAATTTTTCGAGATTTGCTTCATAAGCACATATAATGAAAAGATTTTTTTCTTGACGAAAAAAAGAATCATCTATTTCTTAAGCAACAAAACAAAAAAATTGAGTAATACGCAAGACACTGGTTAAATTATAACATTATGTTTTTTTTTATTTGAGGCATGTGAATGAGAATACATGAGCATAGAATCGATTCAATAAAATACATATATATCACAGGCGTACGCACCAAATAATGTTTACGTTATTTACCAAGAACCATTTTGACAACATCTATAAAAGAAAAAAATAAAGTAACTATAATCTGCTTTATTTGAATATGGTCACCATCATATCGAATGATCCCATTACCATCAGTATCGATTTCACGCATAATTTCATCGACTTCATCATCGGAAAATTGTTCACCTAAATTGGTCATTATATGTCTGAAGAAGATATTAACAAAATATAATTTTATAAATTCAAATATTTTTCTTACCTTAATTCAGATACTTTAATAAAACCATCTCCATTTTTATCAAAAACACGAAAAGCTTCTCTTAACTCATCTTCTTCACTATGTTCATTGGCTCGTTTAGCCATCATTTGAAGGAATTCATCAAAATCGATTAGTCCTTTGCCTAGAAAAAAAAGTCAAAGTCCAATAAAATACATGAAGAAAAAAACAAACCGTCACAATCAAATTCATTGATTAATCCTTTAAGTTCATCTTCAGTAGGATTTTGTCCTAATGTTCTCATTACATTACCCAGCACTTTTGGTCGAATGGCGCCGTCTGAATCTTTATCGTAGAGAAGAAATGCTTGTCGGAACTCTAGAAAAATATATTTAAAAAAAGAAAACACCAATTATTTATTATCATCATTTCATGCTTACCTTGAATTTGCTCGTCTGTAAAATTTTCAAGCTAAAAAACAAGATTATAAAATAAATTTAGTTTTTAAATAAAATACCGTTTTAATATCGTAAAGAAGAAACCTATTCGTATTAATTAAATGTGATTGCATCTTATCCAAACAATAGATCTTATAAAAGAAAATCTTTGATATGATGTAGCAATGTGACAATATATTATTCTTTTTTTCAACACTTGATACAAATCAATGTTGACAGGGTCGACATACCCACAGATAAGATGTTAACGACAATAACAGAAGAACAAGAAAAGAAACACTTGTCATCGTATTCTATGAGCAAAATCCAAAAGAACATTTCCATTATAATGATAAAAACTTATCCTTGTCTACGAATAGAATATCGTCTAATAAATATCTGCAGACAAAAATATATGATTACGTCATTGTATTGACGTCAACAAAACAATCGAAAAAAAAAAACTGTTGTTATCGTAGACAAGATCTTACTAAATGATTTTAAGACCTATCAAGGATATTGAATAGTACATTACATCCACAAACAATAAAATAACTACTTATGAAGAAAGATTCTCAAATGATCCATGCCATTGTCAATAATATTTATTCCATATGTTGGAGACATTATTTGAAGAAAAGCTTTAAGATGGTTTGGACAGATGGAACTTCTTTCGGGGAGGTTATGACACTATTTTACTGATTTTTTTTCAGCTAACACAAGGTATATAGAAAAAAATTGAATAACAAAAATTTTATCTAAAATATTACTTAGATGTAGTTCTCGTGATTATTGAAAACTCAAAAAAGTTTCAGTGGAAAGAAATGATTTCTTGTCGTGATGTTGAATCGTTAGAAAAGAGTGAATTTATTCGTTAGTGTAGACAAAGAATTTCTCAATTAAGATATTTTTAATGTAAAACTGTTCATTATATCTCCTACCCCAATTTGAAATCGATCATATGCATAGAGTAGATCAATATTAATCTGTTGGTCTGTGTCCTGATCAATACGAATACTTTCAGGAATACATTTTGTACAGATTTTTTTATAAAAATAATTTGTTAATGTTGATGTTTGAGAAGAATCATTGGTTGTCATTTTATTTGAAATAGATTTTTTACTAGATAAACAATGGAAATTAGTTCTATCTGATATTCGATTAATTCTAGCAGAGGAATGTCGTCGATTTTCATTTCCAATTGTTAATAATTGAGGAAGAAATTGGTGAAATATTGATCGGTTTGTGGTTTCATTTTTCATATTTTTTTCCATACTTCAATCTTTCTTTTTCTTACGAAAATATTTGTGTCACATATTTTAAACCAAAGAAAAAAACCAATCAATATATAGCAGAACTAAAAGTGGAAAGTTAGATAGTGTCGATTTATTGTCATTATACAACTATTAATGGCGTATGATGCTGGCAACAGGTGCTACGAATCAATACATGACAATAAGAGTCTATCTTCTACGCTTGTGCTAGATAAAATGAAGAAGAATAAAATGTTCGAAGAAAATTTAATAAAAAAAAAATTGAAAAAAAGGCACAACATGACTTTTTTGCTTTCTAAGGAAATACATACTCAATTATTATTTGATCCCATTCGAGTTTTATACTGAATAATTATTGCACATTCTTTATATATAAAGAATGTCAAATGATTAATTAGTTTTCTTCTATGTAATTCCTTAATTAGAATGTAAAATTTATTGATTTAGACAAATTTCTCTCTTTTGTAATTGCTGATTGATAATGCTCTACACATATAGATATGTATATTTATTGATATTCATTAATAATCATCTAACAATAAGTCATTTGATGTTAACTCATAAAGAAACAAGATATGAGAAAATGGTGATAATGATTTATAAACGAACAAGAAAAAAATGACTTGAGAAGAAAAAACTGATAGAAGTAGTACAAAACAATAAGAAAAGCAGACGTCGAGACAATCAAGTAACTGTATATTGCTATTATCATTTGTGCCGTTTTCTCGATGACATTTTTAAAAGATCATAAGACAACAAAAAAAAACAAAAAAACCTAATTTCATCCAAGCCGAACAACAATCTATTAATTCTATGTATATGCATGTATGAAATACCAAACTATTATTGATTTTATTATTTTATGAAAGAAAAAATAAAATAAAATAAATAAACAGAATTCATTAGAAAAAAAATTATTGTATTAAGATATTTACATGGGTAGAATTGTTATTTTTATTAGAAAAGATTACTTGTCATGATTTCATGATTTATCTGGCATTATAAAGAAGAAAAAACAACAGCAGCAGTTCTCTTACTCTTTTTTTCTTTACAATGACAATACTAAAACAACTAATAGACAAAACACTAACAACTCACGAAAGAGATACAATATGACAAAAATCTATCTTTTGATATTTTCTTTCTTTTTATCAGAAATAACAAAACTGTTATTTGACCTATATAAAACATATCTAATGTTTTTGTTAGAACTCACCCAGTCAGTAATACTTGTCGGCTGTTGACTGATGGGCACTGTGTTCATGTGTTGCTATGATCTTAAATGTGTTGTCTCCCATGAATGGATCAAATATTTTTTATCCAGTTTATGTTAAGATCGAACACAATATACCTTTTTTTTTTATTCTTTTTGTTTTTGTTTTGCTATTTTTGACTTTAATGATTGTAACCGAAAATTACGTGTTGGACGTTGGTTAATGGGTGTTGATAAATTTTTGAGAATCCTTCTTGTTTGCTTGTCTTCTTTCTCTCTTTATCTACGTATGTGCCTATAAGCTAGTCAATCTATCTATACATGGACACGCATTATAAACGAAAGGAAAATAGCAAACTCGCAAATAATAATACATAAAAATATACGAAGAAAAACAAGAGAAGACGGATAAATAGTATAGTATATGATATTATGAGAAACAACAACGAATGATGGGAACGACAAGCAAAAAAAAAAGAAAATTATTGTATTGTACCACCAATACTATCATTACAAAAGCTTCTAGCCATACATTGTTTTCTTTTTGATAAAACATCTATTCGAACTACTGTGATTAGTATATAATTAATCATATTCTTTAAATATATACGTCTGATTATATATGCAGGCTTCATTAGAGAGATTCTTTTTATAGATATCTTGATTTGGTCGTCCTAAGAATACATTAGTAAATTATAAGGATGTATGTTCATTAAGTTGATCTAATTGATAGAACGTACTGATTAAATATTGGAAGATCTATAACTGATTATAAATCTCTGTCTAAGACTTAATGATATTTGCAGATCTGGGTATATATTGATTATCAAATAGATTAGTAATGCTAATATATGTAAGATGTGTGTCAAGAATTCTAGACAAATGAAAAACATTTCAGACACTCAAAAAAATGATGAAATAGACAAAAAAAACGTCGATGGTCTTTTCAATTTCATTGATTAAAACGAGGGTTTTCATCAATTGAATAGCATGATTTTGATGAGAAAACAAATTCACTACATTTACTTGATTAAAATATCTATTTTAATCAATGAAATAGAAATATATCAATTTTTATGTCCGTTGCATTATTCAAAATATCTTTTTATTTTGATAAAAAATTTGTGAACATCATGAAATTTTTTGATTTTTTAACTCTAAAGTATCAGTCGTAAGCATATGTTGCAAGAGATATAGGGTTAACTAATCAAACAAATTCTCATATAACTAATGAAAAGCTGAGTAGGAGCAACAGTAATGCTAATTCGTTGATTTACCTCATCTATCGATCTTTATTTGATACTCATAGAGATTTTCTTCTAATCTTATCTCAAATAACTAGATTATCTGTGTGAGTTCATTTTATCATATCAATTCTTATTAATGATCAGTGACAGACATATTGGTTTAAAATAGTAAACGTCAACTTGATAGTAATGCAATAACTATAATTGTCAATTCATATGTATACTACAACTAAAATATTTGTTTTTTTTAGTGGTTCACAGAATTATTAGAAATTTTATTTATAACTATATTCTTTCGTTAAAATTGTGATTTCATATGATAAGAGATAAAGCACAAATTAATAATTTTTTAACTTAACCATACAAAGGTCGTCTGTGTCTTGGATCATAGTGTCAACAAGAGAAAACAGTAGATTCTTGCAGTATTATGAAATACTATCTTAATGTTGTTTTGATTGATATATACTATTATGTACACAAGAATAAAAAATATACTACACGAAATTATTTTTCATATAGAAATCTGTGAATAAAAGTTATTTCGCAGATCAATGATCTAATATTAATCAAAATTATAGACAAGATTTTTATAGATCTCTTTTTTGTCTTGAAAACGAATAACTGACAATCAAATTTTATTTTAACTTTTATATCTCTATTTATAAATTAAATAGATCCTTCATGAAAATATACAACTAATATTCTAGTATCTAGACTCTCGATGTATTGATCAAATGTAGTCTGTTGTATTTAAAGGTGTCTGTCGGATTTTATCGAACTACTTATTTCGAAAAACAAAATGCAGAGTTTTGTAGAGCCGGAAAAGTTATATTTAATAGTATATAAATAAAATTGGTTTCTATTCAATTTCAGGAATTTTTCCGATATAAAATATCGACAGATAGTATCAAATATTTAGGCTCAAAAGATTACCCCCTACCACATGAAAAATGGTCCTTTATTAGTCGTTATCAGAATTTGATAATAACTATAATCTTACTTAGTTTTGTAGAGCTTTTTTCACTCTACAATTTGGCTTATTTCATTATCTCGTTCTAAGCGAGTAAAAAAAAAGTTTTTTTTTAAGTGAAAGGATGAAAATTTTTAATCAAGAAATTACTAAAAATCAAGAATTTCAATTTTATTGATATCTTTGTGGTCTTTCATTATTCTTCAAGACGTAGTGGTGGAACAACGCGATTTTTTTCCCAGAAACTGCACCTAGTCATGATCTATCATTAGCCATAAAAATCATATTAAAAATCGAAGGGGCTATAGAGAAACATAGTCAACACTGTAATAACCTTGCAGATTTTTTTTGAGTTTTCTTTATGATTGATATTACCACAGTTTCTCAAAATTTCACAGAACCTAGAAATCAACAAAAAGGAAGTAAGATTGTATTATGCTAATCAATTTTCGATACCTGTTTTCTTGAGAATATAGAAGATAAGGATGTCTAAAAATGCTCAACTTTTTCCCCTGGTAATAGAAAATTCATTTTACACTTGTCAAAAATGACATTTTTCACAACTGATACATAGAGAAAATACATACAGTTTTCTTTTCTTTATTTAAAATAGTCATTTTCTTTAATAATAAGGAAGAAATAAAGTAAATATTGTGAGGCAACATATACTTTTAATGAGTTATTAAAATATTGAAAGAATGTGGATGTTCTAATTTTCTATAGTGTCTCACAATCGATGGAATTTATCAACAGACTCAGTTAAGTTTTGATACCAATTACATATACAAAATAAATTAAACCTATTAAGAAGTATTGTTAAGTAAATAGAATAGAATATATTTGTTCTTTTTTTCTTTATTCAATAGATTAATTTCATAAGGAAAAATAATATCAACAAAATCAAAATGAATGGTTTAACTTTTATTACTACTTATAAACGTTCTTGTTTTGCTATAGCACCAAAGAAAGACATTTGTTTATAGATTTAAATAACAGATTATTACCTCTATTCTCGCTCGACGTATTGTATGGATAGCGCAAGAATAGAACTACTGATGTTTTTCTCAGTTGTTACCTGAAAAACAAGTGCATTACGAATGAAAAGTTTTCACATGACTCGCCCTATTGAAATTGAAAAGAAATACATTCAGTATACTGAGAGGATCGAAGAGCCGCACTAAATCGTCAGGTTATTAAAAGAATGTCGTCTTTCTCCTTCTTCGTTCATCTATATTTCATCCAAATACAAGCATTATCAATCTTGTCAACGGATTGCAACGAAATATAGTGTAAGTTTCGATCGTTTGAGGATACTTTCCAGCGATTTATACAGAAGAGGAATGATGGAAGACATGAAAAAATCTTCATTTGCGAGAGAATGCAAAACAAATACCGGATGTCTCAGAATGGTGTTTGCAACATAATTTATTCTCCATATATTTTCACGAACGTAAATGAGAAAATCTTAAATATTTTCAAAAAAAAACATGCGTCCTGATATTCTTGTACAATAGTCAGAAAAAAGATTATATTGTCTTGTGCTAGTAGATTTGAAGAGAGCTAAAAGAAAATACACGGTGTAACAAAACCGTTACGCTCCCCTCTACAACTTAAATTATAAATGATATCACAAAGTATTTTATACCAAATTAATGCTCATCAAAAACTGGGTTTGTAAGTGTAATTAGAGTAATTATTGCCTATGAAACTATTGAAATGTCTTGAATTACATGCCAAAATGCACTCATACTTTACAATTTTCTTTCTTCATGTATATATTTTCACAAAAAATATTATCAAATTTGTGATCTGTATCAAAAACTGCGCCCACTGATATATAAACTGAGATATTTCAATTCAAAAAAATTTTTTGTCTGGGGTATCTTTGCCAGAATTTTTTTCAAAAACTTTTTTCTTCATCAAAAATATACAAATGACATGTCTATAGATTCAGTTTTTGATGGAGATCACGGATCTGATTTTTTTTTTTTGTGAAAATATGTATATGAAGAATGAAAATCGTAAAGTACGAGCGCATTTTGGCATGTAATTCAAAACATTTCAATAATTTCATAGGCAATAATTAGTCTAGTTACACTTATAAATCCAGTTTTTGATGAGCATTAATTTGGTATAAAATATTTTATGATATCATATATACTTTAAGTTGTAGAGGGAGATGTAATGGTTTTGTTACATCCTGTATAGAATGTACGATTGCGGTTATATTATGACACTGTAAAGTAGTTTCAAATAACTGGCAATATTTTTAAGTAGTTAAAAGTAGCTTGAACTAACTCAAAGTAAGTTAAAGTAGCTTTAAATAGTTTAAAGTACGCTTGAAATATCTTAAGACAACCCAAATTAACTTCAAATACAAAAAGTACGCTGTTTCCTCTTTGGCTAAAATACATAATCGATGTGTAACGGTTTTTTTGAGTATTTACAATTTATTATTTGACACATTCATGGAAGAAATGCAACACAAAGATAAAGGAAGAGAAGAGGAGAGGAAGGATGAGCCAAGAATGACTGATAAAACAATACATGAACAGAAGTATTTATATGTATACACCAAAAGGGAGGAAGAACAAGTAGAACACAGAGAAGAAAATGGTAGTGAAGAGAGCGATTACTCACAGAGATAAATGTATAACCGGTGTATCCGTCACACGATGTAATACTATTCTATGTGCCAACGATTATAAAGAATTCGTGATCGTATTATAGATATTGATACATGTAGTGTGGAGTAGCGACTATTTTACGTTTGCTTTCTTTGTGATTAAAAAAGATCAATCAGTTCGTTTTGATTGCCGAGCTCTATGTGCTGATTGTAATCACTATCTTGCATTTGTAGTAGTATTGACATCTAGAGCTCGATAAATTGCTAAATAACTTGGACCGTTAGTGGTCTTCGTTGACAATATTGATCAAACGAAAGAGCTTTCTCACCTATTCAGAACATTGAAAGACGAGTATGAATGCGCGAAGAACCATCGTAGCTTCCTTCTGAAATATGTTCATCTCTTATATTTACGAATTTAATCAACAGAACGAAATCCTGTATTCATTGTTAGCAATTTGCAAGATATCTTGCTTCAGCAGTTTGTGTCTTTGAAAAACTATCATGTGAACCTTTGTTTTATAAAGATTGGCTCTTCAGTAAATAAAGGGCGTACACCCATCATTTCACCCCAGAATCCTGGATAGAGAAAGCAATCGACCATTCATGCACATTTATGCATATCGAAATACATTTATGTCCTCATTCATTCATCTTGAGCTAATTCAGATAAGTCAAGACAATGGATTATGTTCTATGTACAGTTTATCTAAAAAGATCAGCCATCCATAACAGTGATTTCATTTCTTTACGTTACATCGAGAATAATTCAAATTCTCAAATAAATCGGCCTTGCTGAATTCGAGTAAATTCATTCTAGAGATTCGACATTTCGTTATGTTTCCATCTTTCTTTTTCCGAAAAGAAATCATTTGTCATCGTTAGATAAAACGCGAGTTCTGATTCAATCTTTCAATTTCAGATCTTAGATAGAAGTCTGGTCATGTGTAGAATATACAAACAGACTTGTGATCACATTTAGTATTTAGCGAAAAACTTCTAATTTATTGTTTAAAGCGAAGTGTTCATCTACAAAAATCTAGTTTGAACTATTCTTAAATATAAGCTGATGTGCGCAAAAAAATTATAAAAAGAGTTTATTCAATTGAACGCAATCTAAGCTTGATCTGCATCTTTTTCATTAAGACACACCGTGCGTATAAGAAGACTAGTTACAGAATAAGGATCGCAATTGGAGGCCGGTCGACGATCTTCGAAGTAGCCACATCGTTCTTCATCACATTGACGAGGAATTCGAATGGACGAGCCTCGATTGGCTACGCCATAACTAAATTCATGAATCTAGATAAAAAGAAAAGAATTTTATTAGTAATAGAACCACTTTAATTTCAAGCCAAAGTCATAATCCTCTGTAACCTTGTTATCTGTGAAGTAGCTAATGATTCTCTAGTCTACGAGAGGGAATAACAATGTGAAGAAAACATACGCTGGCGGTCTCATGTTTTCCTGTCAATCGACGTTCATTATCTTTGCCATAAACTCTGATGTGTGTTTCATGTCGCAATGAGAGTTTCTCGATGGCAGCTTTGATTTCTCTAGAAATTGAGAACAAACATAGACTATTCATGTCTTTCATTATATCGATCAGATGACTTACTCAATACCGTTGGGTTCGCGCATGGCCAACGTAGAAAAATTTGTGTGACATCCAGCTCCATTCCAATCACCAGCAATCGGTTTTGGATGGAAACTCACTTGAACACCGAATTCTTCGGCAATACGTAACAGCAAGTAGCGTGACATCCAAAGCTGATCACCAGCATCAATGCCTTCACATGGACCTACTTGATATTCCCATTGGGCTGGCATAACTTCGGCATTCGTTCCTCGAATATTTACTCCAGCATAGAGACACGCTTTGTAATGTGCTTCAACTAAATCGCGACCTAATGCTAAGCATGCTCCAATGCCACAATAATACGGACCTAAAAGTGATCAAAATGAATTGGTTAACATTGTCAAGTGTTGCTTGAAGAGTGAAGTAAACCTTGCGGTTGAGGATATCCTCCTTTAGGCCATCCAAATGGCCATCCATCTCGATCCATCAATGTATATTCCTGTTCAATACCAAATAATGGGCGTTGATCCTTAGCAGCCTCCATGGCAGCGAGACAATCAGCTCGATGATTGGTAACTACAAATTCATCGATAAGAATTGTAAATGTCTATATTAGGTATAATTGATTCTTACTGCTCGGTTTCTTATCAAAATTGTATGTTTCGCACAGGACAAGCTTGTTTGGCGCGAGTGTAAATGGATCGTTGAACAATGCCACTGGCTTCAAATACATTTCCGAATTCGATCCTTCAGCTTGACCAGTCGATGAACCATCAAAATTCCACCATGAAATATCGTTCGATGACTTGGGCTCCGTGTCAAACGTGCGTGTTTTGGCTATAATCAGATGTAAGAGCCTCATCTAGGACTCGTCAAATAGTATGTAATATACCTCGCAAATTTTCTCCGCTTCCGTCAATCCACACATAGGTAACCATCGTTTTGCCGTCAGCTTGTGGCAGATGTAAATATTTTTGAAGCACGGATTTGTCCATACCTGCTGCATTAGTGAATACTGGATTGAGCATGATCGAATATTTTCACAATCTACAAAAAATAACAGTGATCGTGTTTAAAACTATGTGAGGAATCGATCGTTCATCGTTAGGATACTATAAATTTCGCATCATACAAAATAAATACTTAATTATGAATTACATCGTAAATGAAGATACTTTTCCAATAGGCGTCCGTCTATATTCTATCTGATGAAATATCCTTTCAAAAGACACACAATAGACAAAAATCAATCATCTAATACTGCCTCAAAATACACTTGTAGTTCAATCGAATCGACTACATACGACAAAACTAACAATTCAATTGCCATAATCATGAATGATAATTTCATCCAAATGAAGCGAAAAACATGAAATATCTGTCCATCTAGAACTAAAAAAAACAATAAAGTAGAGATTAAAATCTTACCAGGAGCCATAAATTTTACTAAAATAAGTTACATATGTTTGAACTTTTGGCGTCGTACTGAACGTAGATTTCAAACTCTGACAACAGTAGCAGAGTATAATAGCGAATTAGATGAAACGAAAATGAGACTTTCATTTTGAGACTTCATTACTCTTTTTGTTGATGAATTGAGTATTGAAAGTGAGAAAAAGAACGCATTTTCGTTTTT